ACAAAAAAGCCAATCCCCAAGGGGATAATGTCTTCACATGAACCTCCAACGCAAAGAGCTATGGGCCTAAAACCGAAACCCTACAACCCAGAAAATGCCAAAACGAAATCACAAACCCTAGAACCCTGAAAAAAAACAAAAAACGGAAAAGCGCAAAACAACGACAATGAAACACTAGAATAAGCCTAAAACACCCGACATAGCCACCTACAACACGCCCAAAACCTTACACGGAACCGTAAAACCCTAAACCCTAAAGGCCGAGTAAGGCTTTAGGTGGAGGGCTCACGCCTTGACAGGGCTTTAGGAGTTCGGGGGGTTGTGTGGTTTAGGGTTTAGGGTTTAGGGTTTAGGGTTTAGGGTTTAGGTTTAGGGTTAGGGTTTAGGGTTTAGGGTTTAGGGTTTAGGGTTTAGGGTTTAGGGTTTAGGGTTTAGGTTTTAGGGTTTAGGGTTTAGGGTTTAGGGTTTAGGGTTTAGGGTTTAGGGTTTAGGGTTTAGGGTTTGGGTTTAGGATTTAGGGTTTAGGGTTTAGGGTTTAGGGTAAGGCCTTATTAGCAACTCGGGGGTGTTTAGAAGTTAGAAGTTGTCGGTATCTCGGGGTTAGGGTTTAAGGTTTGTTGGCGCGTTCGGGTTAGGGTTTTGGCGTCAAGATACAACGCACTTGTTACTCTAATATGGTGAAGCATTATCGAATCATGCTTGGACTTTTGTGACCATACTCCGTGCATGGTGCAAGAAGATTGGGATAGCTCATGGTGGTGCCATGACTTGGAGACACTGGAAATCAGCCCTTGCCAACACTCTGAAGAACCTGTTTACAGTACGCATACCCTAGAGTATCCCTGCGGCTATTATACAATATAATAGCTGTATAAGTAAGATGGGCTCCTGCAAAGGCACAAGAGACACTAAAGCATGCCTGATGGCTCCCATGTAGCCCCACCAAAAAAGATTGGTTTGGAAGGTTGGGTGGTATCGATACCCCTTGTGTTGGGTACAGGGTCAAGCCAGGGTGTAGGTTTAGGGTTTAGGGTTTAGGGTTTAGGGTTTAGGGTTTAGGGTTTAGGGTTTAGGGTTTAGGATTTAGGGTCCGCCGACCCTGGCGGCGTGTTGGATGGGTTTGAGGAGGTGACCCCCCCCAAAACGCGGCACCCCCACCCCCCCCCCTCCCCCCCCCCCACCCCCACCAACCTGTCTTTTGGCTTGAGCTTGTCCTGGTGCTGCCCCCTGCCCCCCCCCAAACGTTTCACAGAACTCTGCCGAGCAGGCTGGGATGATCTTCGAACCATGCGCGCGGGTTTAGACCTCTCAACTATGCTCCAGCAGGGTCGGCGGCTTGAGCCGGAGGCTCTTAAATTTAGGCTTTAGGGTTTGGGATTTAGGGTTGAAAGGTTGGGCAAAGTGAGCCTTACCGCCCGACCCCCAGTCCGTTGCCGCAGTCGGCGTGGCGTCAGAGCTTTCGGAACGTCCAGGCCGACTGCCACACAGAAGGGTTAGGGTTTAGGGTTTAGGGTTTAGGGTTTAGGGCTTGGGGCTTAGGGTTTAGGGTTTAGGGTTTGGGTTTAGGGTTTAGGGTTTAGGGCTTAGGGGCAGTTTTGGCTTTGCATCGTCCCGTTGTTTGCTGCCCTTACTACATGCACGGCCTTGTGCAGAGGGTCCCCAAGAAGGCAGCTTAGGGTTCTAGACCCAAGCGTAATAGGAATGCCAAGGGCGCCCCTTGTGTTTAAAGGGGGCTTACAAGGGAACCTCAACCCTACCAAGAAGGGAATACGGGCCTGCTCTGGGTCCTAGCATTTATAGGGTTAGGGTTGGGAGGTTCCCCCCTGATACTAACAGTGCTTAATAGGGATTATAGTAACCCCTATTATAAAACCCAATAAGGACTGGTAGTATAGGGAGGAACATCCCAAGGTTAGGGCATGACCCGCATGAGTTGCAGAGTCGAGGCCGCCAGTTGAGGGAGCGGGGTGGAGACTAATTATGTAGTTTAGGGTTTTAGGGTTTAGGGTTTAGGGTTTAGGGCTTAGGGTTCAGGGTCTAGGGTCCTTAACTGCTAGTATTCGAGCAACCGTATTCTGGAAGTATAGGGACAGGCTTCTTTCTTTGAACCCCAACAGGTCTCTGGCTCGCTCTTCCCCAGCACGAGTGTGTCAACCCCATCATCTAGCCGCAGGGTCCACTTATAGTAAAGTGGCAATACACTTCTGGAGTTTTGTACCCATAACTTCGTGGACTTTGTGGGATGAAACAGCCGGGCAGGGTTTAGGGCTTCGCGCCTGGGATTTCTACACCGGTTGGAAGTCCTAGCAGCCTCAGCTACTGGACTACGAAGTCCCTTCCGTTGGAGCTGAACCCTCGGGAGGTAGTTGCGCCTGCGGAATGTGTTGGGAATGCGAAGTCGACATGCGAAATCCCTGAAGAGACACAAGCCTGCGAAATCCCTAAAACCCTCATCCTTGGTAGCCCACTAAGCATAACACAATAAGGGTACCCTTTTTGGGGTTGGTTACTTTCTAAGGGAACCTAGAACCCCCCCAAAAAAAGCGAAAAGGTTACCACTAGTCTACCAAGAAACCCTGGCCTGTCAAGCCGTAATTTACAACCCCCAACGCGCCCCAAGACTCCTTAAACCCCAAACCCTAAACCCCTGTAGCAGGTTTGGCCTGCTGCTTGTTGCAGAGCTGGGCCCTTGCACGCTGGCCTGCGCTTGCAAGGACCCATTTGATTCGGGCTCAGAGCTCAGGATTGAAGGGTGCAGGGCTTTGGGGTTTGGGGTTTGGGGTTTGGGGTTTAGGGTTTAGGGTTTAGGGTTTAGGGTTTAGGGTTTAGGGTTTAGGGTTTAGGGTTTAGGGTTTAGGGTTGAGAGTTGAGGGTTGAGGGTTTAGGGGGGTTGGGGTACGCGGTGTAGGGTTTGGGGGGCCTATGAGCTCGAACTGACATTTTGGGTGCTTGAACGGTTGTACAAAGCAGTCTATGGCGGCTCCTGTACCTCATATAGGCCAAAAAGCTCTTTTCTTGCCAACAGATAATTCAGAAGGTCCATATGTCGTGTGAGTATGGAAGGAGGCATCCGCGAACCCTGCTAGTGCGGTTTGTGGGTTTCTAGTTCCATGCTTGGAGGTTCATGGGCAGCTAGAACTCGGGCTATTTGTGGGGCAACTATGGTTAGAAGTGGCTATAACCTTCTTTGGGGTACTTACAACCCTGCTGATAGCTACCCATGAACCTTCAAGTAACAGTGCTAGAAGTGCGTTTTGTGGGTGTTTAGTACAGTATTTTGTGGCCGAGCACGGGCGCAACAAATCGGGAGTTGCAGTTTAAATCCGTAGGCCGTTGGCCCGGAGCATGCTTAGCAAATCGAAGCGTTGGGAATAAACACCAACTAAACCCGAAACCCTCTCCAACCTTGCTTAACCCTCAACCATAAGCCAAAACAAGCCTTAGCTCGCTTGACGATCAATCGGGGAGATATGAAATATCCCAAGCCCCCACCTAGGAAATCTACACATACTCGACTACAGCCCAGCAGCAGACACTGTAAGCCACCCTGAAGACCACAAACCCGACACCCAAAACCCCAAACCCGAAACCCTGACCCCGAACCCTAAGCCCTAAACGGCTTGGGTCTCGACACACCCCCCCCCCCCCCCCCCGCCACGGGGGTCGGGCAAAACCCAAACCTTGGGGACGAAATGAAACCCCAAAGGGTGTATGGTTCAATACACCTTAGTAGGGATTATAGCACCATATGACCTCTAACATTTGGCCCACAAGGAACCCAACCATTTTGGAGCCCAAATCGGATCGCCTGAGACTGCGAAGTGAGGGCATCCCCAGCAAAATGCAGCGTCAAGGCCTCCTGTGCCACATGGTTGCTGGCTTGGACGACCCTTAAACGCCTCTGAACAAATATTCCTGAGTATGACCCTCTAACAAGGGGAAATACTCCTGAGCCTAAACCCTAAACCCTAAACCCTAAACCCTAAACCCTAAACCCTAAACCCTAAACCCTAAACCCTAAACCCTAAACCCAGTTAGGACAAATATTAGATGCCGCAAGACACTGCCGAGCTGCCTCTCGGGGCTTACCTCCAGAAAGCCCCAAAAACTAGTTTCGTAGGGGGCCGAATTTCCTTGTGAGAGGTTTCGGGTTTAGGTTTTCGTGTTTCAGGTTGAGGGCCGAATTTCCTTGTGAGAGGTTTCGGGTTTGGGTGTTCGTGTTTCAGGTTCAGTCTACGTAGACCGTAAGGGTTATTTTCGGTGGGTGCGCAGCAACCTTCATTGGGCCGCGGGTGCCCCTTCTCGATTTTGCGCAGTCTCGTCGTTGAAACGAGACAACGATCGCCACAATCATTCGAAACCCTAAGCCCTGAACCCTGAACCCTAAACCCTAAACTCTAAACCTAATCCCTGAACCCTAAACCCTAAACCGCCCATGGATACATTCATCACCAGCTTTCATCTTCAGGAGACGGCTCCATTGGCTCTGACCAGCCACTACCCCAGACGAGGGGGTATCGATGCATATAGCCATATCCTTTTTTTTGGTGTATATGTATGTATGCATATATATATATATATATAGTTCCGTGTGGTACCCCCCCCCCCCCCCCCCCCCCCCCCCCCATGGTATCCCCCCCACCCCCCGCCCTACCCCCCCTAAACCTAAACCCTAGACCCTAAACCCTAAACCCTAAACCCCTAAACCCCTAAACCCCTAAACCCTAAACCCTAAACTCTAAACCCTCAACTCAAACCCCAACCACACCACCCCACAGGGGGGCCCAAACCACAGGGGGGCGGGGCGGGGACCCTAAACCCTAAACCCTAAACCCTAAACCCTAAACCCTAAACCCTAAACCCTAAACCCTAAACCCTAGTCCTAAACCCTAAACCCTAAACCCTAAACTCTAAACCCTCAACCCAAACCCCAACCACACCACCCCACCGGGGCATGGGGGGGGGGGGGGGGGGGGGTTACCATGGGGTGGGGGGTGGGGTTGTGGGGGGGGAGTGGGGGGGGCAGCGACGCTGCACCATATATACACACATATTTGCTTATACATACACATATATATATATATATTTTTTTTTTTTGCTGATAGTTGTTTGTATATTTAGATTCATACTTAAATACACTTCAGTTGACTTCACCAAAGTTAATTTGTAACACTTTTTTCGCAGCAAACGCAGGACTTAAAACCCGAAACCGTGAACCCCAGCTTCAATGATGATCTGTGACCCTGTAGGTCTCGTAAATTCGGGTCCCTTTTGGGGGTGGAGAGCCGGGGTCCTTTTTCGGGGTTTTGGGTTTAGGTGAGTTTGGGTCCTATTCAGGGTACGTGTGCCTCTGGTACCTAAACAAGGGTATCATTGTTGAGAGAACTGGTCACACCTCGAAAGTTGCAGCCTTTCACGCTCAATCAAGCGCCACTCCCCTGGGAGGATCCAAAAAACAGATCCCCTTAAGGGTTCCTAAGAATGACCCACTAGTAGTGTAGGGTACGTACTAGTTTGGGGTTCTACTTTTTGGATCCGCCCGGGGGTCTGGGGAACCCCTGAAAATACGGTCATTGGAGCGGCTTTCCTAAGGGGGCCTCAACTGGCGTAAGCGCATTGATATTGAGGTGGGTTTTCTTTTTCAAATCCCCGCAAAGGACACCCAACAATTGTATAAACAAATATAAACATAAACACAAACACTACATGAAAAATATACATAGGAATGAATTTAATTTATATCGGTATACATATACATATATATATATATATCTATATATATATATATATATGTGTGTGTGTGTGTGTGTGCACATACACCCTAAACCCTAAAGCCCAAACCTTCTCACCCATGTGTATGGAAGGGGCGAAGGAAGGAAGGGGAAAGCCCAAAGATGCTGCTGCTGGATTGGCAGCCTCCACGTTCCACTGGCACGCGTCCAGCAAATGGCGCGCAGCCTGAGCGTGGGTCTCCTAACCCCGAAGCCCTAAACCCTCAAACCTGTAAACCCCCTAAACCCTAAACCCTAAACCCTATATACCCTGAGGCCATACACCCTAAAATCCAACTTCAAGCCCATCGTCCCCTTTTCTGGCTACGGTGTCCGAGGTCCCTAAGCGCGAAATGCGACAAGGGGCCTCGACTTTCGTGTTGATTGGGTTTATCGGGTTTGGGGTTTATGGGTTTAGGGCTTAGGGTTTAAGGGTTATAGGTTGACAGGGTTTTTGGGGGGTTTGCGGTATAAGGTCCCAGGACTCCTGTGAGGTCAGGTGCACAAGACCAAGCCCCCCGCCCCTCGGCCCCCCCAATGCACCAAGGGAAAACGGGACAGCACCAAACAATACACATCAGCACACACACACACACACCCATCCAAAAGTAACCATAACGGCTTCAATCTCCAAACCCTATAGGCCTGTCCTTACGACGCTACTTGCACCGACTTGCCTGATCATGTATGTAGAGAGGTGTGCGACTGCGGGCTTGGACAGAGCTAGGGTTTAGGGTTTAGGGTTTAGGGTTTAGGGTTTAGGGTTTAGGGTTTAGGGTTTAGGATTTAGGGTTTAGGGTTTAGGGTTTAGGGTGTCGGGGTTTAGGGTAGGCATCCACGCACCTAACATCCATCGTCGCTGCTGAGACATGTTCCGTTCGATACTCGCTTCAGCATGATGCATAGTTTTAGGGTTTAGGGTTTAGGGTTTAGGGTTTAGGGTTTAGGGTTTAGGGTTAGTACTAAGATTCGGAGAATATCCTCGCCGTGTGAGTTCATCAGTTCAATTGATTTGAGAAGAGTAAAGTGATGAATTTCATCCAATACATGAACTTCATGGCAAGGCGGTTCAAATGCACTTTACAGTCCCAAGCGATCATTACGGCTTCGATAAGTCTACTTGGAGGTCCATGGAGAGTTGTAATTGGGGTTGCAAGTGGGATCACTATAGTTCGAAACCATTGCGGCCTTCTTTGGGTTTAGGGTTTAGGGTTTAGGGTTCAGGGTTCAGGGTTTAGAGTTTAGGGTTTAGGGTTTAGGGCTGAGGGTCTCGGGTTTCAGTTGGAATACCCTCCCAGAATGGCCCCACCTCCACATCAAGGTGGCACACCTCGCAGACTTGGGCAAGCTTGTCCTGCATCAAGTCGGGAAGTTCGGGTGGTGGGTTTGGGTTTCGTGTGTGTGTGTGTGTGCACATATATGCATATATATATATATATATATATATATATACACCCTAAACCCTAAACCCTAAACCCTAAACCCTAAACCCTAAACCCTGAACCCTGAACCCTGAACCCTAAACCCTAAACCCTAAACCCTAAACCCTAAACCCTAAACCCCACACACATGCGTGGACATGTGTGTATGCCACTATGGAATAAGGTACCGACAGTCATGCAAAAGCCGATTTGGGGGTGTCTATTCGCAGCAGGATACTATGAGTAAACCCTTCTGGGACATATCGAACCCTTCTTCAATAAGACCAGCCGGCAGCCTCTTCCGACATGCAAGGCTCGATGCAGCAAGGTGAAGACGTGTCAATTAACCATCTGTGAGCCTACCTTGCTTGGCCTAACTCGGGATGGTGAAAGGTCGGGGTCTCAGGCAGATCTCTCGTCTGTGGATGCTAGGAGTAGAAGATGTCAATAGCTTTTTTGATCCTAAACCTAAACCTCCACGATCTGCAGTCATAGGTCTCCACCGTGCAGCATAAAGCCCTAAACCCGAAATCCGAAACCCTAAACCCTGTTTATTCTTATTCTTGGCTGGTTCATGCCACTCATGTTGGCTCGAAGGCTCGGCGGCCTAGGAAAATGTTGCCGGACGCGCGACCTATCATAAGGTAGCCACCCCCTTGCAATAGGGTTAGGGTTTAGGGTTTAGGGTTTAGGGTTTAGGGTTTAGGGTTTAGGGTTTAGGGTTTAGGGTTTAGGGTTTAGGGTTTAGGATTTAGGGTTTAGGGTTTAGGGTTTACATGGCGACCTCTCTGCCTCTTCTGTTTATTATTCTAAAAAAATGCCTCTGTCTCTCTTCCGTCCTTCCTCTGCAAATAGCCCCCCGAAACGGGGGCGCCCCAAAGGCGTGCTCCAGTGAGTTCCTTTGTTTTTATTTTATTTGATCTCTCTCTCTCTCTCTCATTCTCTCCCTGTTCTCCCTCTTTGCAGTCCGCCTAAAGATGCACGTACATACATACCTGCCTATATGTCTATATACATGTGTGCGTACATATTTTTTTTTAAACATTTTTGTCTTTTTGTATGCACACACACTCATTCAGACACATCCATGCACTCTCCCGGGCTCCCTTTGAGGAACTGGACTTGTGAGGCAGTCCCCCGTATGCGTCATGCCTGCTGTAGAAATTGCATACATACTATGTATCAATATGTGTATGTATATACATATGTACATGAAACATATACAGGATTCCGAGGTTGCTCCAGTGGGTGGGGGGTTTAGGGTTTTGGGTTTTGGGTTTTGTTTAGGGTTTAGGGTTTAGGGGTTTAGGGTTAGGGTAAGGGTTTACGGGCAGTTCTCTAAGCTAGGACCCCTTTCAGGGCCCTCATTTTCAAGGGTGCCGTACTATTGGGAACCCGAGAAGGAGCCCCAATTTAGAGAACCATGTACATATAAACATATACATGGCTATATAGAGAGACAGATACTTTGTTTCTTGGTGCCTTGAAGCCTGTCCATATCTCAATCTGCCTGACCCTTGCCCGGTACTCCCCTCTCTCTCTCTCTCTCTCCCTCCTCACACAAACTTCAAACCTTAATCCATAAACCCTGCTCTGATCCTTTCCGGTTCCCCCTCGCTCTCCAGTCTTCATCCCTTGCTCCGTTCCCACCGTCTCTCTTTCCGTTTCTGTCTCTCCTGCTGTCCGTTTCTGTCTGTCTTTTTCTGTCTGTGTCTGTGTCTCTGTCGGTGTCTGTGTGTCTCTTTATCTCTCCGTTCCGTGCCTCTGCCGGTGCGCTTCGAAAGGGACAGCCAGCTAGTGCTCACCAGAGTTTGCCGACGGCGTCGATGCGCATACACCAAGGACATCACCGAGGCCTCCCAGCTGTTGCTGCTTGCCCAGACCGGGATGCCGCACTTAGGGTTTAGGGTTTAGGGTTTGGGGTTTAGGGTTTAGGGTTTAGGGTTTAGGGTTTAGGGTTCTGCTGGCAGGAGCTCCGTCTCCTTCTCGTCATCGGACCCTTCCACCTTCACCGGCTCCAGCAAAGCCGGGGCCGGCGACGGAACAGCGGTTCTCCCAAACGCGTCAGAACACAATGTGCGTACCCTAAACCCACTAAACTCTAACATGCAAACCCGAAACCCAAAACTGCTAAATCCTAAACACCAAACTGCTACACAAGCCAGAAACCCCTGAATCCGAAATCTTCTCCTCCGAGACTTGCCCCCCTTTACACACTATCTAGATGAATAGTCCCCCTAAACCCAACCCTGAACTCTAAACCCTAAACCCTAAACCCTAAACCTTAAACCCTAATCCAAAATTTAGGCTCAACAAGGGAAACAACATGTCAAGCATACCCTCAGAGCCCAGCTCTCCTAGGATTTAGGGTTCAGGGTTTAGGGTGGGGGTTTAGGGTTTAGGGTTTAGGGTTTAATTAGGCCTTATAGGGCTTCGGGATTCGGGATTCGGGCTAAGGGCTTAGGGTTTAGGGTTCGACCGTGTGAGGCATCCCTTCTTTTTTACTCAGCTGCGGCACTGCGAAGCTAAGCCAACATGTGGGAGATGCTCTGAGTGATGGTCTCTTTTGGGGATCCCAAACCCGAAACCCGAAAACACTCAACCCTAAACTAAACCCGAAACCCTAAACCCGAAACCCTAAACCCTAAAGTGCCTCCAAAAGGGGTTTCGGGTCGAGGGTTCAGAGAATCCCTAAACCCTAAACCCTAAACCCTAAACCCGAAACCCTAAACCCTAAACCCTAAGCATGTGGCTTCACTCAGGCAGTGACTGCGTCGAGCATTCGCCTTAGATTCTGTAGCTCGGCTGAGTCGAACGGGTCCTAATATAGGAGTTATACACGGTTTAGGGTTTAGGGTTTAGGGTTTAGGGATACTTGCTAATCGTGCTCCCTCATGGTCCCTTCATATTTATGCTAGAGCATCCCCCCAAACCCTCTGGCCCTAAACCCTAAACCCTAAACCCAAAACCCGTAAGGCCCCTCTAGTACTCAAAGCAATGTGGAATAAACGACCAGGTCACGTCCGAGGCATGCTAGAGAAACACGGAAACACAATGAGCATTGAGAGCCTTCGCCAGCGGCCAAAAGAAAGTGAGTCTTAAACACACCCCAGTGGGTTCAGGCACCTACATGTATGGGTTGAGAGCCCCCCAAAAAGCCTGAGAATTTTGGTTTAGGGTCTGAAACCATGCACTATTCGGGTGCTCGGACCTTCTGGGTACTGCATGTCTGCTTCACGGCTATCGGTGTGCGACACCTGCCCAGGACCATCAACCACTTTCCGCCTTAGAAGGCCCTTACAGAAGTTCAAGCGGGCTAAACCCTAAACCCTAAACCCGAAACCCTAAACCCTGAGCCCAACTTTGCGCTTGTCGCCGAGTTCAGGGGTCACAGAAGCAAAAAAAAACTTGAGCCCGACTTCCCTCAGATTCCCTCTCAGGAGGTTGAGGGATTGAGGTCAAGGGTTTAAATGGTGAACCTCAGGGTCCTCGGACATCTTACCTCCAGGATTGAGGGTTTGGGGTTAAGGGTCTGGGGTTTAGGGTTTAGGGTTTAGGGGTTTAGGGATGATATCAGACATACATGCACATATGTATCAGGTACCCGGACGCTCTGGTAAAGAAACCCTCCTGAAATCTAAACACCATCAGACGACCGTAGCTTAGGAGTGGTGAAGGCCAGCAGGCTTGAAACCTAAGCCCTTAACACCTAAGCCACTGAAGATACTCACCTCCCCCACCCCGAAACATCGATGGTCACTCCCCTGGGATCCTGTCTTGTAGAGCGGTGGCATAACCACCTTATTGGGGATGAGGGTTTGGGGTTTGGGGTTTAGCAAAACGGTCATAAGGATCGAGGGAACACGATCACAAGTAAATGCGAGTACAAGACTTCAAGGTTCATAATATGCAGTGAGAGCTGGGGTAGTATATCATTTGGGGTAACTCGAGTCGCTAAGTTTGCCTTTATTTCACGTTTTTTCAAGTGGCGGAAAATTGATAAAGAGCAGGTATGCCTGCGTACCCAGACCCCTGGGAGGATACAAAAAGTAATCCCCTTAAGGGTTCCTAAACAATGACTTCATAGTAGTATGGGTTGAGATGTTCCCCCTTCTACTAACAGCCCCTAATCGGGATTATAATAGGGGGTACTAAAATCTCTACTAAGGACTGTTAGTGCAAGGGGGATCATCCCAAAGTATGGGGTGCTATTTGGGGGTTTAGGGTTTAGGGTTTAGGGTTTAGGGTTTAGGGTTTTGGATCCCGGGTCTGGCCCAGCAGCAGTTGCATCCAAGAGCCCGCAGACGACCATAAGACAGCCATGTGCCTACAGTGTACAGGATCCTAAAACTTTGCAACAAGCCCAATAAACCCTAAACCCTAAACCCTGAACCCTAAACCTCAAGCCCTAAATCCTAGCCCTAATAAACCCCGAACCCTTCAGCCCCCAAGAAATGGCCTGGTGCGCGGCGCACGACTTTTTGCTTGAAACATCCCGCAGACGGAGTCCCAGAGATTTTAATGGGTTTTGGGGACTGGGGACTGGGGACTGGGGGTTAGGGTTTAGGGTTTAGGGCTTTAGGGCCCCAGATTAAAAACCTCTAGGAATAAAATCGGTACCCTTTTGTTAGTAGTGCCTATAAGGAAAGCAAAGGCAATCAAAAAAGAGAATCCAGGGCACACCTGAGACTGAACAACACCCAATGGGATTCGACTGGGTTATTCTCTCTCTCACACACACACACACGCGCGCACAACCCTAAACCCTAAACCCTAAACCCTAAACGGGCCTACCTAGATGCGGAACCCCCCCCCCCCCCCCCAAACGTGCACAGTTCAACTGCAAACCCCTGGGAGGATCCAAAAAGTAGAGCCTCAAAAAACAAGTACCCTGAGCTACTAGTGGGTCATTTTTAGGAAGCCTTAAGGGGATCTACTTTTTGGATCCTCCGAAAATCTAGGCAGTACTTGGTGGCCCAGCAACCATACTTTTTGGGTCGGCTACTTTATGAGGCACCACTGGGCCACCAAGAGTATATAGAGAACCAGTCACGGCCTTTGGGGGGGCCGACTACTGGATTTCTACTCGTGGTCAGGCGGAAAGCCTGTCCCAGCAAAAGACAACCCAGGGTCCAAGTGCCCTAGATTCTGGTTTAGGGTTTAGGGTTTAGGGTTTAGGGTTTAGGGTTTAGGGTTTAGGGTTTAGGGTTTAGGGTTTAGGGTTTATGGTTTATATGGTTTAGGGTTTATAAGGTTTAGGGTTTATAAGGTTTAGGGTTTAGGGCTTCTAGGGTTTAGGGCTTATAAG